GAGTGCGTAAGCATATGTTAAGGTTGTTGATAGTTGGTTGGTCACAGCGTCGAATGGTGATATGAACATTAATAGCCGATATGCCCTCGACGAGATGAAATGAAAGCTGGATTTTTGTGTTGTACTTCCCTGCGCTACGCCTATTCACAGACTAAACTGCTGCTTCGACCCCTTTCTCGTCTCGTCTCCACCCAGGTGGGATTCAAACCTTGTGTCTAAGAGTCCAGAGTGCCATTTTTGCTCCTCGATCTAGCCACATCGAGTTACGCGAAACACCACACATTTTTGGTCAGTTTTGACCGGCAGCAAAACTTGTGTTCATCACAAAATTTAATTCATTACTGTATTGCTAGGAAATATTTATTTAAGCCAAGAACCACCGTTTTCGTTAGCATTTTCTGCGATACCGTTGAAAAATGGTCAATGTTGAGGACAATCATACTCATGGAAATTGGCAATTAAATCTAAATATCTACGCTTTGAATCTCGTTGAAGTTGCAGTTAGGAAGATGAGACAAATTCTATACTGCAGTTAATTCTGAAGGTGGAAGTTTTGTCAAGGAATTTAAATGAAAAATCTGCCCTCGTCCGTACCAAATCATGAGCATAATCGCAAAATCACGCTCAAAAGTCCGCAAAGCTGAAATTTAAGGATGTCTTATTTTATTTTTTCGCTTCTTTTAGGCAGAAACGACTCCTACTGCAACTTTTGCCGTTCCCGAGGGACCTTTTATGCTACAGAATAACTTTAGGCAGGTCACAGGTATAGTCAAGTATTTATTTTTTCCAATTACTCTAATCGAATGTGCCTAGTGACAGTGGGTCTTGGATAAAATGCTTTGATTATTCCGGAGAAGACTAGACTCCCATAAGCTGAAACCCGAGTTCGATCATATCAGGCTTACTCGTTCCAAGTGAGATTGAGGCCCGATGATGCTTGGAACCTTTGGTACAGACTATCAATGCCTTCGGTATTTGTTGGTCTTGCCCTGAGGTGCGTAAAAGAATTATTTGAGACTGTACAATAGCTACTTTAGCCTCCAGTGCCAATGTCACATGCCGGATTTAGAACCCGAGTGACTGTTTATGGAGGGTTTTCCAGATAACTTTAATTGCCTTCGGTAGAATTAGTGTTCTATACGATTCGAAAAATAGAAATTTAATCAGCTTGGGCCGCTTTGAGAGACTTAAAGACCGATAATTGTGTTATTCTACAAGCAGATGAGTAGCCCTACCAAAAGGCTAGACTTTAATTTCGACCTCGTCTCTTTGACCGGACTTGATACCTGGTTGTGAGTACCGTGGCGACGTTACTCCAGTCGCAATTCAGACTACCCCCAGCAATAGACGACGCTACTTATTTTTGTTATAAGTAGTGTATTTTATATGGAATTTTGAAGCATATTTAACTCATTGTTGTCCTGAAATCACCGTAAGCAACCTAGGCTAGCTAAGTGTATATAGACTAAATTGGTAAGTCCTGTGGTTGGGACACTGTTTAAAACGACAGATTGTTATGTTTTTTTTCTCCGGGCCTTCTCGAAGCATCGGCCGTTTGAGGTTTACAGACTCCTTCGTGTAC